ACTTGGTGTCAGAAGTGGGATCAGTAACGTAAACACGTTACACTTGTGTCAGAAGTGGGATCAGTAACGTAAACACGTTACACTGGTGTCAGAAGTGGGATCAGTAACGTAAACACGTTACAATATATACATTGTCAGTAATACCATAAAATTCAAGTTTATATAAAAGTATTTCGTGATTTATGCAGTCAAAAAGCCTTTCCAAATCAAAGAAGATTCAAACTACTTTTTCTTTTGTTGTATTTTAGCGTCCTGTTGCACTGATTTAAGTCCATGATTTATTTAATCTGTCTTGCAGTGCACACACTCATTTATCTCCTTCTCTCCCTCGCACTACATGTTTCGGCATAATAATGCCATCTTCAGGTGCTTACTTATCCACGTCAAACCAGTTCATTGCATGCCATGTTCACACATTAAAATAACTAAAATATGTATCTATCATATACATTGTCAAACGTTAAAAATATTAAAATTGTTCAGGATACCACATCGCTACGTCGCCCCTCACTACGTCAGTCACGCCCATTCTCCTTTGTTGGAGCACTCCTTCACTATCTTGTGTGTTGTGCTTTTGTTGTGTCGTGCTCCTGCGACTGCGTGTGTTATACTGTCTTATACTGTTATACTACTTTTTCTTTACTGTTAATAGCTGCTAAAACTGTATTTATTAAGTTATATGAAGCTGTTTCAGTGGATAATTTGGGGCGAAACCCAAATTCTTCATTGGCTAGAATGTCATAAGCGTGAACATGTGTCAATAATCTTCTAAATGTTATTTTTTCAAACACCTTGGAAAATGAAGTTAACAATGAGATTGGTCTATAATTTGCACAGTTCTTCTTATCACCTTTCTTGTATATAGGAGTTACAATCAAGTATTTCATACGTAAGGGGAATTTACCAGCTAAGACTGCTTTATTGAATATATAGCATAAAGGGGAAGAAATGTATGGGGCACTAATTTTTAGTGTCTTCATCAAAATCTCATCATATCCAGAAGAATTTTTCGAATGCAAAGAAGAGATAACTTTTTCAATTTCTTTAGTTGTTATTTTATTGAATATTATATTGGGAAAGGGGCCCTTAGCTGTCAAGTTCAGATAATGTTTATAATTATTGTTATTATCAGTATTTAAAGTAATTTGGGTAGAAATTTTTAGTAATATTATCAGAAATATTTAAAAAATGATTATTAAAAATACTTGGATTTATTTTCTCAGTTTTACAGTTTTTGTCCTACAGCCAGTTTTTACCTAACTCTGCTTTAATAATATTCCAAGTGGTTTTAATAGCATTACTGGAGTTGGTAATTTTATCATAGCTGAGTCTTTTTGCCTCATTAATCACCTTAGTCAGGATCTTACTATATGATGTATAATATTGTTTTAGATACCTTTGTCAAAAGGTACGTTTCTTTTTTCCTTTTGCAAGAAGTTTTAATTCCGATGGTTAACCATTGTTTAGGGGGAGATTGCTCATAGATTTTCTTTTCCGTAGTTGGGAAATGAACCACACTATATAAATTGAAAGACTGCAGCATATAGTTCAATTGTTGCTTCTTATTATTGTCTGCAAGATAATTTATATTAAAATCACCGCAAACTAGCATCTGTAAGTTTGGTTTATAATTTTTTTGATAACAGTTTCTAACTGGATAATAAATAAAGGAAAATTACTGGACGGAGACCTATAAATAGCTAAAATACAAAATACGTGGTGCAGTCCAAAAGTTCCCGAAATATATTAATAAAAACTATTACATTTTACCTAGATCTTATTCTGCTCCATCACCTTCAAAGTAGTCCCCTCGGGACTTCTGCTTCTGCCACTTTTCAAATGCATCCTGGAAGTCTTTCTTTGTTAGGGTGTTTAGTACCGTCTGTGTTTCTGCTTGTATTTCCTCAGCTGTATCAAATCTTCGCCCCTTCAACTTGATTTTCATCTTGGGGAAGAGAAAGAAGTTGCATGGAGCTAAGTCTGGCGAGTACGGTGGGTGGGGAACAACTGCCATCTTGTTTTTAGCCAAAAATTCCTGCACAATGTAAGCCATATGTGGTTGTGCGTTGTCATGGTGGAGTACCCAGTCGTTCATGCGCCACTTCCCTGGACGTTTTCTCCTCATGTTCTCCAGAACTCTTTATTGACTGTCTAACCAGGAGGGACGACCTCCTTATGAACAATCCCGTCAATATAAAAAGAAACAGATCAACATGGACTTAGTGTTGCCCTTGACTTGTCGAGCTTTTTCTTTTTTGGCCGAGGTGAAGAAGGGCTCTTCCATTGTGACGATTGCTACTTGCTTTCAGGGTCGTAGCCATAAACGCAACTTTTGTCACCGGTGACAACCTTCAAAAGAAAGTTTGGATCCTCTTGAAGCTGTTGCTGAAGTTCCCTGCAGACTTCCAAGCGATGCTGCTTCTGTTCATTTTGCAGCAGTCGTGGCACAAACTTTGCCGCAATCCTCATGTTCAGTTCCTCCGACAAAATTCGTTGACATGTACCATAACTTAGTCCCAAGGTGTTACAGAGGTCTTGGATGGTCAGTCTACGATCTTGCAGAATCAGATCCATAACTTTCACGACATTTTCTGGTGTTTTTCAACATTTGGTGCGTTTCTGCAGCGGTTTTACAAAGTTTGAAACAAAACTTTATACAGACACGCTGCTCTCTCAGGTCAGCCATCGCAAAATCGCAAACTCACGGAAACACAACAATGGAAATACGTTCACCAACAATAAACCCAACCACTCAACTCAACGCCGCTT